AGCTATGCAATAGCTTAAAATTTCACTTATTACAAGAGTCGCGAAAGTTCTATGGACTCGGGAACCTTGGATGTTGAGAAATTAAGTCGGTGAGGTAAGAATGCGTTAACACTGGACTTGCACGCTTACGTAACTTCAGAATTCACAAAATGGTATTCTTTAAAAGTTGGGAAATGAATTATTACTTCGGCTTTAAGAAGTTCCGTCATTTAAACCACACTGCGATAATACACTGGACTGGCCTCTCTTACCAGACTAATTTTTTCTCGGACTAGAGCAATTTTTGCTAATATTTGACCAGCGGCGGTCGATCATAAGAATATTAAAATAAAACTTTATAGAAAGGTTACTAGTGAAAGATTCATACCTTAGTCCTTCGCGGATTAACATAGGCGGTAAAAAAACCGATATTTCAGCACTAGAAACAGAGCTGCGAAAAAAACATTTCTGGAGCTCTGTTTTATACTTTACGCTTGGACCAGTTCAGTTTCTAAGTGGGAATAGCCAATATTTATAAAATGTACTTTTGATATTTGGGAAAATGGCCAGATAATTTACCTGAATTTAAACGAGGACAAATGTTCAAAAACGGGAAATTTAAAAATAAGGGGGTTCTTGAGAACGCTAACAGGCGGAAATTAACATTTTTTAAATTAAATGAAACTTTAGGATCAACGATATACAGTGGCGTAGCCACGGGGGGGTTTGGGGGTCAGAACCCCCCCCCCATGGAAGGTCCTCGCTTTTCACCATTGGCGCTGATCGTTATTGACTGTTTTTATTCACTTTCTTGATGGAACCTCCCATAGTTCTCAAAAACCCCTCCAATGAAAAATGGCTGGTTACGCCACTGACGATATAGTTAATAGATTGCTCAGATTAATCAGAATCGGTGAAACATTCACGGGCTAAGAGTTTATGACGGTCGTGCTTTTTAAGTACGGTACTGGTACAGTCAAAAACAAAATCGACTGTAATTTAGATAAATAATTACCTGTGTAATCCTTTCGTTGGTTGTAAAGAGTATCATTCTTTTTGCATAACGTAGCTACTTGGTACTTGAATGGTTTAATTAAAATTCACATGTTACTTTTAGTGTAATTTTAATTTTTTTAAAGTGCAACAACTAAACATCACAACATAAATAAGTTCGGTGACTTAATTTGCCCAGAACTAATCACTGCATCTTAATTAACAGAAAAATAAAAAGCAAACTGGCTGTACCACTGAGTGTGGCACTAAAAATGCCCAATTAATTACATATTGGTAAAAGGTAATTTACATGGTAATGATTCGAAATTGGCATCAAATTTTCTAAAACATTTCCCATTTACCCTACCTTCTAAATACATTAAACCACAATACACAGACTAACGGTATGTTCCTGTGCATACAGCTGACTGACGGTGACGTCACGTGGGACATAGAGTAATTAGCATTAAATGGGAGATAGTGTTTGAAATTCGATATTTAAGATAAATAATACTAATAAAAATATTAATGTTTCTTATAAATTATATGAATTTTGTGACAAAATACATAACCTGGCCATAAGATAAATAAAAAGATAAGTTTGACTCAAATTTGTACTTTTTGGGCGTGGCCCAGACAACACACCAAATCCCAGAGATATCCACAGAATATCTTTTGTGGATATCCCAATATATCCACCAGGATATCAGAAATATTCCGTGGATCTAATATGGATATCCAAATGTCCGTCTATATCCAGAATATATCCTATGGATATTCAGCAAAATATCTAATGAGTATCTTCCAGACAATACAAGAAATCCCAGAGATATCCACAGAATATATTTTGTGGATATCCAATATGGATATCCAACCAAATGCCCGTCTGACTATATCCCAGGATATAGAATTCAGATATTCAGCAAAATATTTTATAGGTATCTTTAGTAGAGGTTCATAAGTAACCAATGATTATTGAATAACGTCGAAAGAAAATAGAGATAAAAAATATTTCCAACAATCTGCCTTTGATTTTGCCCACTAAGGAGAAAGGCATCCTTAGTAGGACTATTCAGCAATAGATGTAAATTCTCGACTCCAGTCTCTAATGGAGTCGATCGAACTCATAATTACGGCGGGTTGGGCATGAGTAGATACGAAAGTGGTATCGCCATCTATACTTAGGAAGCAAAATCAAAAATTACATCTAGTGGATATCCACGATGGTTTGCGTCCGCGCTTAGACTTTGATATATTTAGTGGATGTCCATGGGATATTGAATACACCTTACAAAAATTTATTTTAAATATCTGAACGGTACTATTAGCCCCAATGGCGTAATTTTTTAATAATTTTCTATATAATTACTATTATTTATGGACATTTGCATGTCTATAAATTACATTTCATGGATATAAAATAGATATCCACCATGGACTGGACATTCAGTGGATATTGGGATGTTCAGTAGATATCCAAAGGATTTGGTGTACTGTCTGGGGGTAGTTCTTTTGAAATCCCTTTTCTTATTATGTGAAATAAAAATAAGTGTGCAGAAACAAATTATTTATTTTTGAAAAAGTTATTTTTATTTGGTAAATTTAATTTTTTTTGTCAAGTTTACTTTGAAAATACTTCAAACCAATTTTTCTGTTTATGTATCTTATTCTTAAATATGTTCGCGTCCTGTTCATGCATATTATTATTTCAAAAGGGACGTTCTGTATTGGGACAGGAAACTACTGTTTTATCTGCTAAAATTTAAAAATGTATTTTTTTTGCTTAATAAGGCCCCATGCGCCTGGTGGAATTCAGTTTTCTTTTCTTGCGTACTTTCCTCAAAGTGGATAGGGCAACTTCATGTTAAAATAAAAATATTTATATATTTTTTATTTTAGCAACCTTTCACTGTCTCTAAACCTATTATACTTGTGCATTTTACTAACCATTGTTTAAATTAAGTTTGTTCTTTCTTCGATAAGATTTTACCTACATTTTGAGGCATTCGAAAATATCTTACACTATTTTTGAATTTCGTATTATGGTTTTAATAGTCGCCACCGTGCAGCCTGCCATTTTAAACATTAATTCAGTTCTTCTCCATTATATACGAGGATGGGATGAAAAGTTTCCGGCCTAACCTATAGTAGGCCCGATTTGCTTTCCTGTTCCAACGTTTCTGTGGTAGCCTTGCTTGTCGTCAGTATACACTCGAAGTTTAAAGTGAGTGCGTCAAGTAGCTTGTGGCCTGGGTATTTTAAAAGCTAATAAAGTGCGCCACTTTTAAAAGATGGAAAAAAACGAGATAAAAGCGGTGATAAAATATTTCCATATCAAAGGATTATCGCCGACGGAAATAAAAGTCGAACTAGATGCTACACTAAGGGAATATGCTCCGTCATTTACCAGAGTTAAAACCTGGGTAGCGGCCTTTAAACGTGGTCGTACTAGCACTGATGATGCTGTTCTGGCAGGCCAAAAACGGCAACTTCTGAAGAAATGGTGCAAACCATTCACAAAATAATTCTAAAAGGGTAGGCATATCAAAAGAGTGAGTTCACTATATTTTGTGTGAAGTTTTAGGTATGAGAAAGCTATCCACCCGATGGGTGCCGCGTTTGCTCACGTCAGTTCAGAAGTTTACGCGGCTAACCATTTCAGAGGAGAATTTGGCACTGTTTAGACGTGATCCAGGGGACCTTTTGCGTAGATTTATTACGGCTGATGAAACATGGGTTTATCATTATACCACTGAAACTAAACAACAGTTCAAACAGTGGACGGCAAAGGACGAACCAGTTCCAAAGAAGGCAAAGGCAGTACCGTCTGCTGGAAAGGTCGTGGAAACGGTCTTTTGGGGCTAAAGGGACTCCTAATAGATTATCTCGAAAAGGGAAGAACAATAAATTCCGAGTACTACAGCGACTTACTGGACCAGCTTAAGCAGAATAGAAGCGAAAAACGCCCTGGTTTGGCAAAAAAGAAAATTCTGTTTCATCAGGACAATGCACCTTGCCACAAGTCCGTTCTTGTAATGGCTAAAATTCATCAGCTAGGCTCTGAACTGTTAAACCATCCTCCGTATTTGCCAGACCTTTGTTTCCAAACCTAAAAAAATTTCTTGCTGGCAAAAAATTTTCCACGGATTTAGAAGTAATTGCAGCCACAAACGCCTATTTTGACGAGTTGGATAAATTAGACTACAGTGATGGTATTAAATCGCTTGAACATCGTTGGGCTAAATGTATTACCCTACAAGGGGACTATGTAGAAAAATAAATTCTTATTCAGTCACTATTGTGTTGCGTTCTATGTTAGGCCGGAAACTTTTCATCCCATCCTCGTGTAAGAAAATATAGTCACTACTAACACAAAAACAAACAAATAAATTATTTTACACTATTCAATCGAAAAGTGTCAAAATAACTTTAAAGTTCGTCCCGCATTACGTCATTGCGCGGTTTGGACGAAATTTGAATCGAAAGTCAGCATACCATTAGTATGTGTATCGTGCATTAAACAAGATACCAATATAGACTCGAATTTGGGACACAGTGTATTTATTTTTGTGAATAAATAAAAATAAACAATTTTTTTTTGTACCTACTACAAATCGCTGATAAAGTTGCATATGAAGTATTTTATGATTCTACGTTTACAACCGCAACTTTATTAACAGCGGCCCTTGGACCACTTGAATTTGAACAGCCCTGATCTCAACCACAACCTTCGATATTATAAAATAAAAGACGAATGCTCAATAAATATAAATAAACTTTAATAAAAGGTTATCGACATTCAATACAAAATATAATGTGTTACAATAAGTGTATATAATCATGAATATATATTATACATGACTAGAGTTAGTTAGTATAACAAAAAACATGATAATTGTAACAAAAACGATTCTTACAAATTTGTAAAATGAGATGCGAGTCGTTAAGAATTTTTTAATGCAATACAAAAGATATTCGCAATTCTAATTAATTTTCGCGCGCCTCTGTCATTTGTCACCTATAAGTAAGATATTTGTTTATTTATATGTTTGTTTTGGGCGGGATTTTGTATTTGTGATTTCTTAACTGTTTTTATAGCGTCTTCGAATCTAGTGCACGGCTTGCACTGAGTGCATACGAGATATGTCAATACCAGTTACTTTTCAATCTGAAATGTAACCGGTATCGATATATCGCTCATCTTTTATGTGCACGCAGGCAAGGCAGTGGAATCTAAGAGCTGTTAGATAATATTCTAATTATAATAGTGTTTTTGAGTTTCATTTAGTGTTAAGTTTAGTATTCGTGCTTTCGTCTAGAAATATGTATTTACTAAACCCAGGACATGTTTTATTATGTGGTTTAAAGGACATTTCAGGTACCAAAGGTTTATTATTGATGAACTTATTTAAAAATCTTACTATCCTTATTCTTACATTATTATGAAGTGAATTATGTATTACTTTGTATACATGTAAATGGTAATAAAACCGTCATAAATCAGATTACAGTTTGATTCTAAACAAAGTTTTGCAAAATTTCAATATTGTGAATTTGTAGATATCCATTTATCCTAAGAAACAAAATTTTACGACTTACGCTTGGAAAATAATGAATACTTCAGTTTTGATTTTGACATTAACACCTTATAAATTGCAATTTGCTGAGGAGCTTTTTCGCAGATTTCAATTTTAATATAAACACTATCACATACTATAATAAATAAACAAATTTAAAGCTAAAAAGCAGGAAAAAAACTCGAATTGTAATTGATACAAATTAAAATATAAACAATGAACACGAATGCCAATGTTGTCAAATGATGAACTGATTTTAAAACAAAATTAATAAATAAACTTAATTTTAAAAAAAATCAATATAATAAATAGTGTTACAAAAAAAATCCTTAAATATAGAGTATGATTACATATTATTAGACACAAATTTTGGTTCTTAAATAAAAGGTCTTATCCACTTCTTCAAGGGCTAAAATCCGACACGTAGCAAAATTTCGCTACTTCTGGCAACACTGAACGATATCCTACTTATAGGGACCTTCTACAAATTTCCTCCATAGGGCGTATCACTTAATTTGAATCGCGAATATGCAGATAATGAACTCGTTCCCGGTGCTCAGGTAAAGATTTTATAATGTACACACTATAGCTTATTAAAATGCGTTTTAATATGGTGTCTCAAGGTGTGAGCTCTTTTTGTTTCAAATGAGCACATGTTGCATTTGTGCATTTTTATGTGCTTATCATGTTTGACCATATGTTGTGAAAGGTTTGTTTTATTGAAAGTTGAATAATCACAATTGGCGCAAAACATTTTTTCTCTATGACTTGAATGTTGGAGAACGTGTTGCATGAAAGCAAATCTTTTAAAGTATTTTTTTCCACAATGGTAGCATATATATGTTTTAACTTCGACGTCTACTTCATGTTTACGCAATAAATGAATATTTAACTTGGCAAGACCAGTGAACATCTCGCCACACATGTCACATACATGTTGCTTGTAAATCCTAGGTTTCTTGAAGTGAACATAGTCCTAAAAAAAAAACAACTATTACTTTTTCGGTCGGAGCGTCTATGGTTGATTCCAAAAGACTACATGTTACCTTGAAGGGTTCTCCGTTTTTTTTTGGATCTCCCCACCAGCGAGCCGGTCACAAATTAAAAATACATGGTGATTTGATGCGGAATCAGATTAAACATTTCGTATTGAAAAAATTAATTTTAAAGTAGAAAAAACAGATTAATTGGATAACATAAAGCAGAAAGCTACCAACCCTCAATTAGGCATTCCAACGACCTGTCAAACAATAGCCGCCAGTGGGAAGCTCTCGGGATTAGCGTCATAGTGTTGCACCTTGGACGCTATTTTTATTCGAAATAGTAGTCGCCAAGCCTGCCGATTTATGACAAAATGAATAAGCGGTTTTTTAAATAATATTTTTAATGTGTTTGACAAAAAATATTTAAATGATTTTATGATATTAAGTATTGCAGAAAGAATACATCACATGTCGCAACCCTTAGATATACCAAACCTTCCCACTGGCAATCAATTTGTTCGGAACGCCTAATAGTAACCAACTGAGATAATCAGCTATAAAGTTTTTATTCGTTTAAAAAATATGTAGGATGTGGATGTGTAAGTTCTGTTTATAAATACGGACCTTAAGTCCTTTTCTTTGTTTTTTTTTTGTATGCGAAAAACAATTGTGTGTCACACATGCAGAAAACGGTTTAGCAGCCCTTAGCTATCAGATGCCCTCGCTTCGCTCGCTCATGCGGCTAATAGCCGTGGGCTGCTAACGCTCATTTTCTGCCCTTGTGACTCAATATACTATATAAATATAAAAATTTAGGTAAAAACTTCATTAAACAACCTTTTTTGAAGTTCTACAAATAGTATAAAACGTTAAAAATCATTCAAACATATCACCTGAATTATTCGAATCCATCAAAATAACTTTAAAATATTGGGTGGACAACACAATATTTCTCTTTGTTTTAATGTTTACATTAAGGACGCTGAGAAAAAAACATGGTCTTTTTGGGACTACTTAGTTTCAACTAGATACGCGCGCTCATGAAGAAAGGTTTGCAAGTGGGAATGGCAAATTATTGTTACTGGGACATTTCTTTGGCATTTAACTTCATTTTTGAAACCTGATTTTTGGCTTCCTAAATGCCATTTTCTCTCAGTTTTTCTTTAACCTATTTTTCAAAGCACATGTGCCAGCTTAATTTTCCACTGTGAATAAAGTGTTATAGTTTATTTAGTGTTATTTGGAAGATTTTCCAAGACAAATTGCGAATATATTAAAATATCCGAAACGTGAATGGAGTTGGATATCCGACCAAAAACTAAACGCAATCCAATTGGCGAAATAGGAGGCAGTGTATTTAAAGGCTCGTTTCATTTTCAATTTAACACCGCTTTTAGAAGACTTTTTTAAAGATTACTAAATACATGCTCAACGTTAAAACGACGTTGTCCGCTGGTTTAGAGTGCGTCGTTTTATAAAGACTAATTTCTACACCAAATACGTTACCAGAATTAGAATACATCAATTTAATAAAATTCCTGAAAACGTATTTTATTGTCATAACAGAAACTATCGATAAATAAAATTAAGAAATTTTTAACCTATATAATAGGTTACACAATTACATTATTACAAAAATTACAGTAATCCTTTTATTGCGACCGGTTTCGAAGTTTAAGCTTCAGACTCACCAAAATGGGCAAATTTTATGTAGATAATATAAACCGATATATAAACATAAATTAAGGGATTAGCCATTATATAAAGCAGAAAAACATCCTGATAGGATTAGATTCCTATAATCTAAGATGCAAATGATTTATATTTAAAGACTTCTGGCTACCACACAAAAGAAAAATGCCATCTTGACGATATTGTATCATTATTATTTGTAAAAGATTAAACAAAATTCTACAAAATTAGTAAACCGGCAACACTTGACTACATAAGACCTAATCATTGCCCCTTACTTCATACCAAAACCACAGATTTGAATCAGATGAGAGACCCCTCTATCATTCAGTAGAAAAAAATTGGTCTAAATACGCTAGTTAAGTGTGATGTCATTTTGGTTCCACTGACATTTAATTCTAACCAAGGTTTTAACAAAAACATCAATAAATTTGACATATACATTTTTAATTTTTTTCTAAATATTGTTTACAGTTTATAAAAAATAGTTTAAAGGTATGTAATTGGTAACTAAACAATTGTATATTTGATACATGTTATCTACTTACTTTAAAAATATATTTATAAAAGTGAACAAACAACAAACTCAAAAAATCTACTGTCACTTTAATTATCAGTGGAACCATAATTACATCATCACTAAAATAGCGTAACATATGGTACAAATTAGTGCTAAAAATACATTTTTATTACAACTAGCAACACTTCAAAACAAAGTGGAGAAATGTATATTTTGTTGTATACACCTTCATAAATCAGTAAGAGAAAAGTTATGCAGCAGTTCAGTTAGCAAGGGGAAAAGTAATACATAATATGTTACTATAAATGAAATGGAAAATAGATAAACAGGGACAAACCTAGAAATAGATGAGAAAACGCGTTTTCTAAAATGCAAGCATTTTGATCCCTCCTAGCTAAATTAGTTGTTATTTTAGGGTTTAAGAGAAACATTTGAAGGGACCTAAAACTCACGGATCCTATATTTTACTTATTTTAAAAAACCTACCTTATGAACAGTCAGTTTGTGATTTGCATTAGCCTTGTAAGAACACAGGTCACAGTCAAAACTTTTCCTTGTCACATCATGCGAAGCTAAATGATGGGTTTTAAGATTTCTTGAAGAAGTAGCTGCATGACCACAAATATGACAAAAAAATGTTCTATCCCGTACTGTGTGTACGTTTATCATATGCTTCTTAATGTATGACTTATCAATACATTTAAATTCACAGAGTGTGCATCCATGTGGTAAGTTTTCTTTAGAAATCTGATGAACATCGGTGTGCCTTTTAATAGATGTTCTACTATGAGTCTTGAAATCACAATATTCACAAGCAAAATCCACTTTCTTCCTAACATATTTACTCCGTTGGTGTTGTTTATTGGTGTGGCTAATATAATCAAGTTTACAAGTAGTCTTGTAGTTACAATATTTACAAAGGAGATCTTCTATTTTCGTAGTAAATCTGATTTCCCTATAACATAAATAAGGTGTTTTACAAAAATAATAAATATTTTAATTGTATACATTTAACTTATGTGTTTTTACTAGGTAGAATGGATATGAAATACATCCATTCAGTTGAATGCAAAGGCATACTTTTTTGTTTTGTAGTATGTTCATAAAATAGCTAGGTAATATTCATGTGGGTGTAGGCATTGGAAAAATGGCATGTATGTCAAGCGTGAAATTGAATGGTTCAGTGCCAGAGTTCAAAACCAGTCTTCGTATATTATTTTAAAATCACTGATGTACATGCAAAAGTAGCATATTCCTTAAAATTATTAGTTTTTGGTGCCACCATCTATATCTAAAGATTAGGCAACTACCTCTAGTAGACACAGGTAAAGTGCTTTGTCTCCATTTTCTAACTTTTAATAAATTATTTTAAAATAATTTCTGTGTATGTCAAAATTGCCTATCATTGTATTTAGATATCCTAGTAGATCAACCTTATGGACTTTTCATTGGAGGCAATTATGTCTCAAAACCTGCTAGAATAGTACAAATGTCATCAAAATGGCCCGAGCGCTAGCACTTCCTTGATCATTGAGTATAAAATTCTATATATATAAAGTTTTCTTAATATTTAAATTCATTTGGGTAGATTGCCAAATTTATATTAATATTGTTTATATTCTCTAAAATGATGATAAATCGTAAATAAATGTTCATCAAGCACTTTTATCTCATATTCTGAATCGACTATCAGTCCATCTATTACTAAATAGAAAAATTACGTTGGTTATTCAGTTTCGACAACTGTTCGATGGCTGGGTAGAAGACGACAAATTTATCAAAGACATGACTTGGACACCATCTATTGATATCGTCCATTGTCCTCCAAGAAAATTTGCATTGGTGTAGCGGTCTCACGTGTTTATATTCATTTATAGGCAAGTTTGTGGTCAGAGACCTTTGGATCCTACACCTAATTTTTAATTAAATTGCATGATTCAGTATATGATTTAATGTGTGCTGTATTATTAGAAATTCATTTTCTGTTGATATGACATGCAGATTATAAAATCGCCATGCATTACTGTCTCGATGATGGTGGGTGAGGTTTTCCGTGTTTTCGTCACCTGTAAGTCAAATGACACTGTCAATCATCTTTAAGTCGCCCCGGAGCGCCACGGCAAATAATAATAATAATAATAATAGTCGTCCCTTCCTCTATACAAGTCGTTCAGTCGACTTCAGGGGTTGAAATTCACTAGTAAGTGGGTGAATTATGGAGAGTATTATTATTATTATTATTCTACTAGTTGATCTAAATAAAATGCTATTACTAAAAATTATTCTTTTTCAGTGCCACAATCTTTATTTAAAGTTACATCTAGTAGACACAGTATTTTGATCTCCATTTACTCAATTTTAATAAATTATGGTTTAGGCAACTCTGGCAGTGAACCACTCATCTTCTTCAGTTTGAATTACATAGGGACATGACTCATATCTGTCTTTGTCGATCATGGTCTATTTTAGGAACATTTTATGTGGGTCACTCTTTATATCTACTTATTTTTTGAAAGTATTGAAATCTGCAAATGAACATTTCAAAAACTTAAGAACAACTTGTGTAAAACGAGATTTAAAATTTTTAATATTTTTTAGTTTATCATAAAAAGTTTTGTTTCAAAACGCAGACTTCCAGATTTTTCTAAAATCAGGTTAACCTATCAATTCAAGGACGAATTCTTGAATTCTAAACTGACCTGTTTTTTATGAATGTTATACAATTCCTGTAGACTCTAAAAAACAAGGTAAGTGTCTAGTTTGAGCTCTTTTCGCTTATGCAAAAACTAAGCATTGGTACTTGAAGGTATTGCTATTGTAAACAAAAAACCTAAGTTCCACATCTTGTGCAAATGAATTATATACAAGTAATAATGCAAATAATTGTTTTCTATTATTGAATGAATAGGGTAAAACAGCGTCAATAGTTATATTATTAAAATATTGTTAGGGCAAGGGAAATTATTAGAAATTAATTGCCTGTACTTGTGATACTAAATAATAGTAAATTTTTTTGTGACTTGGCAGCAGAGTAACACATAAAAGCATATAGCATATCTGAGCTTGATTTGAGACAATTTGTGAAATATTTTTAATTAAAAAATTTAATTGTCATTATTAATTTGCACAAGATTAAGATTTTTTTGTTTATCTAGCTTGTTACCTAGCTTTTTCATAAACAAAAAGAGTTCAAACAAGACAGTGACCAAAAACACTACTTTTGCAGACTTAATTTTACTTTAAATATATGGTAAGTTTAGTTAAAGAATACTTTTATGAGGTACCAGTATGAATTATGATTGATTATAAACTTTCAAAAATTGAATGCAAAATTAATTACTAACCTGGGAAGATGATAATTATGTTCTTCAGATTGAATCTCACCTACAAATTCTAATGAGGCTGGAGTTGGTTTTGTATCAATAGGTTCTTGCTTGGGCCTTACCAAAAACTGATAATCTACAATTTTTCCTTCCACTTCTTTGCCATCAAAATTATCATAATCAGGATTCTCTTCTTTAATATTATTTTTTAATAACGTAGACATTTCCTGTTCAGGCGCAATACGCAAAGTTTAATGTTTACCTATAAATAAAGAATGGTTGCTTGTTGCCTACAGAGTTTTATGCCCTTGCCTTGTTTCTTGTTTATCTGAGACTTCGCCCTTTCCCTATTTCCATATGTTCAAGGCTGCCCACTGAACTATATAATTAGTCGCTTTCTTTTTACCACTAATCTGAGCTAACTTAGGGCCAATTTATACTCCCTTATTATTAGTATTAACAGGTATTAATTAGTATTATGATGATTAAGCATTTAACCCATTAAACTGGACAAAAAATCCTAGGGCTGTTACAGTGGAACTCAGGGCTGCCGCAGATATTTAAAAATGTACTAAATTTTAAATGGACTGTCATTTGTCAAAACTGTCACGTATGTTGTCAGTTGTCATGTCAAATGTCACCTGTAGGATAGATGGGCGTTGCGTTGCTTACACAGATTTGGTTGCTTATGTACTTTGAAAAATTAGAATAAATCACTGAAATATACCGATACGTTAATATGAATATAGTTTTGTTTTAAATATTATTATTTTAATCAAGTTTAAAGGCAAATTTTTATATGTTTATCAAGGTATGTAAAAATAAATTGTACGATCATAAAACCAGTTACTGACACCAGGATTCTGCGCAATAATTTAGCGGTCCCAATAATACTTACCCTTATCCCAGTATAAGTAATAATACAGTAGCGACAGTTCATTGTTTATGAGGGTTCCATATTTTTCTGCGCATGTCCGTAAATAAGCGGCAAATACGTCAAACTGGCATATGTGAATTGTCAATGAATTAATGGTAGTTGATTGTTTTGATTATCTGGTTGGTTATAATGCACATTTTAATACATTTTTATTATATTTAGACTTAATTTTCATTTTTCATTTATTGTGCGATATTTTATTCAAACAGACAAAGGGTCAAGATATTTTAAAGTTACTTATTTCAGTGTAGAAATAAGCGACAAAAACGTCAACTATCAATAAAAATCTGACCACCCCGACATCAAAGGAGCCGACTCAAGCTGTCGCTACTGTATTATTAATTATACTGGGCCCCACCTGGGCCCTTATATCGGAAAACTTAAGCTTTCTATCATAGATGGTGCCACAAAGACGATCAGTATTTCAAATTGTACTAAATTTTCCTTGATTTGACTTAACATGTACTTTGTATCATGAGAAATGTACTAAATTTAGTACAATTGTACTGAAACGGCAGCCCTAGTGATAGGACCATAGATTACTAATGTGAATAGATGGGAAACTCAATGGTAAAATTTTGAGTCGATCTATCAAATTGGAGTGGTACTAAAATTCAATATGGCCGCCACGAGCGGGCTTTTTGAAATTTAACTTTGTAGTAGCGCAAAAATGTAATGAAAAAAATCAAATAAAGGAAAAATATTTGACTAGTTTCAAATCATAAAACAACCATTTTGGCTGTTTTCTTGATTCATTTATACAGCACTTGTAGTTAACAAATTTTTATTTATCATGTGGGCACTGTGATAAATGAATTTAACTTTTGAGCATAAATTAAACTTACACACGTATGGACCCTTGAATATTTTAGAGTCTTTTCTTGTTTGATGTCAATTGCATTGAATCAATTTTTGATATTGATGGCTGAGGCTCAAATATTATTTCATCCATTATTGACAGGGTATTTTGGAGGGCCAACATTTTCTTTACAACAATGATCATTTAAAAACTGAATACAAAAAGAAATTTAAATAACAAACCAATTATTTTAACACTGAATCAAAAACAAGTTTGTAAATATTACTTACCGTTAGTACCAAACAGTGATGGTGTATTTTTCTTTAAGACATTACAAATTATTTGCTTATCCTTAATATGACGACTGCATATTTAATGTGGTATAAATTGCATCACTACCAATATCTGGGAGTGCTTTATTGTTTGTTGCTGACATCCATCTCCCCATCGTTTGAAAACATGCTTAAAATTGGAAAGTGTCGAAAAATAAATCTAGATTCTAGATAAATCAAAATTTGTACACCTTCAAATACTGGCTATATATAAGTGTAATTTTATCAATTGGAAATGGTTACATTTTGTTGGACTGGCTTGAAATTAAAAAAAAAAACTTAATACAGGTCTTTTGACGATCTGAGAGGTAGTCATCCCTATATAAATCTCACCTGAAAGGCAGCATGTGGAGGATGCACAATGATGCTATTAGAGCCTAAGTAATGTAAGGGGAACACACCTTACAGATACAGATTACAAGCAGTAAATAGTAAGCTTTGCTTAAGTCCTACTTTATTCTTAAAACAAATCATTACAAAAAAATATGATAGAAGTACCGATTATCTTATCAATAAACATATCTCCTATTAATTTCTTGATATTTTTAAATATTTATTATCCAGAGGCCTATATTTCTTTCTCAGCAAGTAGTTGTTATGCTTAAGCACCAAGAATATTTGACTGCTTCGTCACTCGAAATCTACTTTTATAACCACTAGTTGTTACAGATTTTACTTTAGAGAATTCCGATTTTTTCAATGTGGTAACATAACGACTGACCTTGGTCTAAGCCACTTGCTAGCTAGCAACTGCATGATACAGAATAGACTACATACTATTTTTTCGATCTGTTGCCGCGTTTGAGAATCCACATCGGATGCATTTTTTACATCTCGGGCGTTTTTTTATCCACATCGGACACATCTGTCCCATTACATTTACGTATACTGAATCACGTGATCTAAGATTTACTACATCTCAGTTGCATCCGATGTGGATTCTCAAACGCGGCATGTATATGTAAGGAAGGGTGACTCTCTATGTCACTTAGGCCTCAATAGGCTCATTGTGCATCCTTCAGGGGAATTTAAGACCTGCCTCTCAGCTCTTTAAAACGTCTACTGGTTGATATATAATGTCACTGAGAGCTGTCTATAGGAACCATCTCTTAGATCATCAAAAGGTCTTGCGATAAAATTGCACAAAACATTTTCCTGTCTTGATGAAAGTTTACAACTACGACATATTTATGACTTTTTTTAAATTTTAAATCAGTCCACCAACAAAATTTAAAAAGTCCCAAATGATAAATTATATTTCACTTAATATCCATAACCGGAAACCGCATAAACCTCATTGGTCCCGTCCCTCCTGACTTGAAGGTTAAGTTGTTAAAAAAGCCTGATTTACACGACACATACAACTTTATAGCAACCGTAAATACTAGAATAGCTACATTTGTCAAAGTTGTTATACGGTTACTATAAAAATAAATAAAACTTGTAAGAGTGGTGAAGATCGGGCTTTTAACAACTTACCCTTCGAGTCGAAAGTGCCGGGACGTCAAGTGTAATTTTATCATTTGGAAATGGTTACATTTTGTTGGTGGACTGGCTTGAAATTAAAAAAAAAAACTTAATACACCAAAATGTATTATGCAATTTTATCTCGAGCAAATCTGCAGGCCTTTTAATGATCTGAAAGGTCCATATTTCTTTATCAGCATCTCAACAACTAGATATTATGCTTAAGCACCAAGAATATTTGACTGCTTCTAAGGCACTCGAAATCCACTTTTATAACCACTAGTTGTTACAGATTTTATTTTAGAGAATTCTGATTTTTTCAAAGTGGTAACATAACGACTGACCTTGGTCTAAGCCACTTGCTAGCTAGCAACCGCATGATACAGAATAGACTACTATATAATACATATAATGTGAACAATACAGATATATAAAACCTTATAAAGCCTTCCTTCTTGCTTTCTTTCGAGCAAATTTGTCTATGATGTCATCGTAGGAAATCGATTGAGTTAGTCTCCCCTGGTCTCCCCTCGATGGCGAGCAGGGCTAGTGATGTCAATCTGTCGTGGTTGGGGATCTTAGGTAGTTCTTCACACGACGAAGGGTGGAAAAGGATTTTTCTGCTGAACAGTTATAGTAAGAACCATTTTTAACGCAATGGCAATGTTAGGGTAGACATCAACCATGTCAAAATTATACAAAACCTTGCTAATTTCAGTCATACTCGTTCTGGTCTTTTCGTTTTCAGTGTTTTTCAACAAAAATGCTTTTAAATGTAAACACTCGTCCACAACAACAGGCTCAAGATCTTTGGGATACGCACTCAATAGTTATCTTGCACATTTGGTGATATCAGATGCATCAAGACTTTTGATAGTTTCAAGAAAACCAAACCTATTGTGAAGATCAGAATATTTACTCACGTTTCCTAATTTCGGAGTATAGGGAGTCCAATATGCAGTTAAAAGTGTTTACACGGAAGTTCTCTGACGCTGTAAATTGATCATCACTGCTAGGACCACCATATTTACCAAACTTAGTAGGTACCTTCCTTTTACGCCGATTATCAGCCATATACTATCTCCTACACTTCTCTTTCGCTGATCGTTCCAGGTCATCAGACAACTATTTTCCCTAGCTCTGTGATTTCGTACTGCAGCTTTACATTTACTTTATTAAACCTTTCCGGAATTGAGCACCACAGTGCTGCCATAATGGTTGTCCCAAGGAAACTTAGCTTCTCATTTATAGTCCTGGCTTCATTTCTTGTGGAGTGCCTCTCGTCAAAGTCACTAGCAATTTCATCTAAACTTTTTAAAATTGCTTCTCTGCTTTCATTAACAACTCGGCAGGCGTCGTGACGAGCAGACCACCGAGTCTTTGAAAGGTTTTGCAACTTTTCTCGTCAAAATAGTCTATCTATGTGGTGAAGCGCTAAAAAAGTTATACAGCTCCTGGAGCAATCCAAAAAAGGAAAAGCCTCCTTGCATGACTGAGTTGCACACGAGCCTACTAGGTTTAAGGAATGCGCAGAACAAGGTACATACTCCGCCAGAGGACTGAGCTGTTTGATACGAGCTTGAACTCCAGAGTAAATGCCTGACATATTCGAGGCGTTATCATATCGTCGCATTTATCACGAAGTGATCTAACCAACAAAAATTAAAAAAATGTTTTTTTTTGTGCGGATTAACTAGTCTTGACCTACTTTAACATCTCACGAAGTGGCACATCTACAATTGTAATAGTGCATGCAATACAGCATATTATTTCTGTGTCCTATCTGCAATAACGCATAACAATATGAGAATTACGTATTTTCGTTTTATTGCTGTAAAATTTACTATTTGTCACTTATGCCACTTCGTGATGAGGGCGACGATATGATTGGCCTCTACAATTGGAAATATCAACATTACATTTTTTTAAAAGGCCCAATACTGTGTTTACAATCTCTTCTGCTTTGTGACCAACATTTGACACAAAACAAATATATTTCTCAATCGGTATGCCATCAATAGCAACATATCTAATTACGAAGGTAAGTTGGTCCACATGTGAAATATCCGGCATGGAGTCTAATACAATGCCAAAGTATTTTGCTTCTTGAACTTTTTTCAAAATTGTGTTCTTAACTTTTTCTGCCATAAGGGCGATAAGTTCTTCTAAGTAGTTTTCGAATTGTACGACGTACTACCCGAACCTTGGTCGCCGTATTGACGTAAACGTTCGGCCATAAAAGGGTCAAATTTGGCTAGAAATTTCAGAAGTTCAATGAAGTTTCCACTGTTAAGTTTATCTAAGTGTTCATCAGATCCTCGGAGAGCCAACCCTTTCACACTTAAATATTTAACAGCTGCCACCACTCTCTTAAGTACCTCCCTCCAATAGTGAACTTCAAGTTCTAGAGCTTCGGCAAGTCTAACATCAACACGACCTTTCAAAGAACTCCTAATTTTTTGTTTTTCTAAACTGTTTTTATAGTTAAAACTATTTTCATGGTCTTTTACACGTTGATTAGCATTTTTCCAGTTATTGAAACCGTTTGAAAATGCGTCCTTGTTATCCGACTAGTCAAATATCATACACGGAACGCAGAAAACGGAACATTTTGATGGTGAATAAACCATCCACGCTCTGTTTTTTTCTCCATTTTGAAGTTTTTTCGTAAACAAACTTTTAGACAGAAAGCGAATTTTATTTGGTTCAGTCTTTTGGATTCATTAAAATCGGAGTCACAATAATTTTGCTCTACACTACTTTGGGCACAAATATATTCTCTTAGTTCATCACTTACATCCCATAAAGCCGGGTCGGAACTGCAAAAGTCTGCACTACCTCTACCTCGTTCTACATGAACTCCGTCTTCAGCATCAGCAGATCTATTTTGAATTTCTGGTACAAAAGCATGTTCTTCGTGCGTTTTAACAGTTAGAAGCGTCATGGGAAACAGCCTGTACATTTTCACTGTTACCATCATTACTAACTTAACTTCGAACATTTCGCGAAAAAATGTTGTTATTTTAGGAACTTTTTTAATAACTTTTTCATTTTTCTCATCTTTTTCTTCGCGCCTTTTTCTAAAATTTACACCACTAGGTTTTGATTTAAAGCTTATTATTAAACACTAATGATTATTTTAACAATAATAAATACGTATTTCCAACAACAAAGTAATGCCGTATGGACCACAATGTAAAAGTTAAATATTAAGATAATAGCAAATCAGCGCGCAGCTTGAGATTTGGTCAAGCGGACGCTTCCTTCAACTGCCTCCGCTACGCAGTTTTTTGTGTGACGATTCTAATGCGAATTTACATACTTCACATAAACTTACATAAAATTGTGTAAGCATTGGCCTAATAATATTAACACGGTATAATAACAGTATGAGTAGAATCTTTTTTTTAAATTTAAACTAAAAAAAATTGATTTCGATTTTTTTATGACTGGGCGCCCCTTGGTGCCGTGCGCCCCTAGGCCCGGGCCTAGTGGTAAATCCATGCCTGACACTGTCATTAAAGCACAACAAAATCAGAAAATAGTCAACGATAAAAATATTTAAGCAAAATAACAGAATAATAATAATTATAAATTCACGATTTCGATACCACCGCCCGTGCCGGTCGCTACTGCACTGAAAGTTTCGGTGTAGAATATCGGTGTATGTGTGCTTGAAGGTCACGAGCCCTCGAAGATCACGTGATTAAAAACATTTTGTTGTTTGTTTGAAAACCGAGGAATATAAAAGTGTATAATCAAACAAATTATTTATTACACTAATTTCTAATATAAACATATTTACAAGATCATAATACTAACAGGTATCATAAAATAGAGTGAAAGGTAAAGCAGTTTAAATTTAATTCTGTTATAACTGAATTGTTTTATGATTATCCTCATTCTTACCATATTCTTCGTAAGGCTATCCTGTGGAATTAAGATTTGTCTCTTATAGGTACTTTGATAAATTTTGAAATGTTACTTGGAGTGTTAGATTGGCATGCAGAAAATTATATTTATCCTGTAGAGAGATTAGTGATAATTATTAAATATCATTTTTCTACTTAGTGAAGTCAATTTTTTCTAGTAACGAATGAGATTGGACATGCCGTATATCTTTACTTAATCTGTAACGAGACTCTGCCATTTTTTTGTTAATATCTTTTGAAATACACCTTGTATGATTAATTTCAGCGTAAATTCGTATAAAAAATAGTATTGCTTCGGTAACAACTAATGATGAATCATAAGCCAGTCAGGAAAAAACTTATTTCTGGTTTTTAAACCCTCGGTATTATAAAAGGCATTAAAACGACTCCTAAGGATTTTTAAAATGTGATGCGGCCCGGCTATTACGTTAAGAATATTTAAGGTACCATTTCGATAGGCGCGACAGACGACAACAAACGCGACCGAGAACGGTCTCTTCACGTCTGGAACACATGCAATTATATGAAACACATTTCGCACGGCGCGACACTTCCGAGAGACAGATCTCGACGACACTTTGGATCGGTCTCCGGGCAAAGCGTTTTCTGCGTGTCGCACTCAGTCATCACTGTCCTCAGATATCGCTTGTATTTCGAAGTGATTAGTCGATATTTTATAGAAATGGTAGCTGGAAAGTTCTTTCGATCTAGGCAGCGTTGCCAGATGAACATTTGCTGAAACAGTATGGGTAAAAAAAACCGTAGATCTGAATAGTAGATTTTAATACAGGGGAAAATAATTATAATTTGCAGTGTAGTAAAAAATAAAGAAACAAGTATATAAGAAACGAAAAATAAACATTTTTCTACCCAAATTAGAAAGTAAGCAAAGAAAAAAACAAATAATAACGTTTTTAATATATACTTAACGTACGAAACAAAAAAAAACAATGAACAATAATAGGTACCTACTTCTTTTAGATCAGTCTGAATCAGATAATTAAAATACGTTGTGTTTGGCATGTATGTTATTTTTATGTTGGCCTATTAATTATTCTTTGTTGCATTTTAAATAAAAACAAACCTACAATAGTGGCTGCTTATTACGCTGCTTTTACTGCAGAAAATTTACAAGAGAAAATATTCTTTAACCATTTGCTGAAGAATGAGACAAACTTAATAAATTAAGAATAAAATTTGCTAGAGACAAAAACAGTGGATCTACTTAAAAACAGTAGGTCTGGCAACGCTGATCGTCTCCTCGAATGGTTGTCTGCGGGCGTCGTGTTACCGGTCTCCTTGCTTCCCAAATGTGCGGGACATTAATGCATCTGTCGTCCTTGAGGTCGCCTCTGTGGTCACCTGTCTCCTGTCGCGCCTACCGAAATGGTACCTTTAAGGTCGTACCAAATATAGGCAGACAACGGTTTCCCGATCTCGGTTATAGATTTTATAATGTACAGGCTATGGCTTATTAAGATGCGTTTTAATATGGTGTCTTAAGGTGTGAGGTCTTTTTGTTTCAAACGAACATATGTTGCATTTATGCATTTTGATGTGCTTACTGTGTTTCACCATATGTTGTGTAAGGTTTGATTTATTGAAAGTTGAATAATCACAATTGGCGCAAAACATTTTTTCATGCTTTGAATGTTGGAGAACGTGTTGCGTAAAACTGTATCTTTTAAAGTATTTTTTTCCACAAGTGTAGCAAATGTATGTTTTAACTTCGACATCCACTTTATGTATACGCAATAAATGAATATTTAAATTGGGTATACTAGATAATTTTTTACCACACATGTCGCAGACAACTTGTTTGTAAACCCTGCGTTTTTCGAAATGAACATATTCCTGAAAAAAAAAACAACTATTAATTAATTTTTTTATTAGGATGGATTGTGCGAAGTGATGGTTTGAGCAACAATATCGACCACAATTTTACTAATTTTGGAAATTTGAACAAATAAAATGAATTTGTTCAGTTATAGCTTTGTTAGTACCTACAAAAATTTTACTTATTTTGCATGATGTCTCTCCCAGTAATTTAATCAAAATTTCTTCTTTAAGTATTGACTTCATTATTTACAATACCTTCATTAAATATTTCAAAATGTATATAAATGTCTCCTTACTGGATATTTTATGTAAAAGAACGCATTCTAATCAATCAATCATTCAAAATATCTTTATATAGCAAAAGTAAAATATTTACATTTACAATATGTATATATAACAATCAGTGGCGTATCCAGAAATTTTTCACGGGAGGGGGTTCTGAGAACTATGAGGGAGGGGGGGGGTCCATCAAAAACGTGATATATTTCAGATAAGATTGTTTTTATTAAAAAAAAATTGAATAAAAATAAGTATTTTTTTATAAAATAATAAGTGAATAAAAACCAACTATGGCGGAAACGGTGACGCGAAGACCCTTATGCGGAGGTTCTAATCCACCCCCCCTCCCCCGTGGCTACGCCACTGATTACAATTATAGGCCTATTAAAAATTACAAAACTGAAAGTTATAGTAAACGATTAAAAATGGTGGACCATAAAAAAATAGTACCTACCTATTAACACCAACAATATTAAAACATTTTTTACTTTCCTATCTGTATACAGATATAAGGAAAATATAGGAATCATGATTTTTTTCGACCTCGAGTTTTCGACGGATTTTTACGTTTTGAGGTCCCCTGAATCCGTTTTGACTATTTTCGCGATGATGTCTGTGTGTCGCATAACTCATGAACCGATACACAGAAAAACACCAAATGTTAAAACTTAAGCTTTGTTTCAGCGTCCAATGAACAGATTAGATTTTGAGCAGAGTCGGAACATCTGGGGGGTACTTTATAGGTGGCCATTTTTATATTTTATGGAATATATCTGTTATTTACGTTTGGGGAAGAAAATTCTTCAAATAAAAGTTACTTCTTATATTATTATCTATAATTTTTGTTTTATACAAAATTTTCCTAAAATGGTCCGTATTCGAGAAATTTGACAAAATGTGCAAAATTCTGAATTTTATGAAACTAAAAGTTGTTTTGCGATATCGATCTCTACAATTTTTGTATATACATGATTTTTCTAAAATGGACCGTAATGGAAAAATTGTAGGAAAAGTGCTAAATTTAAATTTTTCAGTATTTTCGTTTTCAATGAATATAGAAAAATGTGGAAAATGTATATATTTAGTTTATCCTTTGTTTTCTTTGTAGTTCTTGGGTTTTTAGGTGCTAGTGAGAAATGAAACTCGTGTATGCGTGGGTAAAGCTTTCGGCACTGATGAGTGCCCTCTTGAGTAGTTTTTTTTATTTGTAAATTATTATTTTTTTTAAAACATCAAAAATTATAAAAATAAATAAAAATTAATAAAAAATTAATAAAAATTATTAAAAATTAATAAAAATTAATAAAAATTAATAAAAATTAATAAAAATTAATAAAAATTAATAAAAATTAATAAAAATTAATAAAAATTAATAAAAATTAATAAAAACTACTAAAAATTATTAAAAATTAATAAAAAAAAAAATCTAGGTATTGCATGAAAAATTTTTCTTGAGTAATGAAAACTGTTATTCACTTTTAATAATTGAGGTTTGAGAAATTCCAGCGAAGCGGGATCGGATCAGCTAGTTATAAATAAAATAAAAATTAGAAAAATATAGACAGGGCCCAAAATTAGTTGAGTAAAACTGATTTTCTAAAAAGCAAGCATTTTAATACCCCTCCATTAATTGGCTGAGTTAGTTGTCATTTAAGGGGTTAAGAGCAACATTCTGAAGGAAGAAAAACTCACCGATCCCATATTTATTTTTACTTATTTTATAAACCTACCTTATGATCATTCAGTTTACTATTTGAAGTGGCCTTGTAATGACACAGATCACAATCAAATTTCCTTTTCGCAGTGTGTGTAATAAAACGATGCTTTGTAAGAGTACTTAAAGAAAAATATGCATGACCACAAATATTGCAAAAAAATGTTCTATCTTGTTCTGTGTGCATTCGTATCATATGCTTTGCAATATATGACTTATCAAGACATTTAAATTCGCATAGTGTGCACCCATGTGGCAAGTTTTCTTTAGAAGTCTGATGAACATTGGTGTGTCTTTTAAAAGAATTTCTATTGTGAGTCTTGAAATGACAATATTGACAAACAAAAACCCTAATAGGTTTACCTTCTTGGTGTTGGTAATATCTGTGTCTTGTAAAATTCGTTTTATACGTAGTCTTGAAGTCACAATGTTTACAAAAAAATACTTTGATCTCCTTAGTCTCCTTAGTAGGTCTAATTTTCCTATAACATATAAAAATAAGGTGTTTCATTAAAATAATAAAAACAGAAGGTGAATGTGAAAGGTCTTTACAAAAACAAACCACATATTCCTTAGGAGGCGTTCAAATATTACGTAAGCAAACTTCCAATGATTTTAGATCCCCACCCCCTGTATAAGCAAAGATAAGAAAATCGTAAACTCCCTTCCCCTAAAAGATAAGACGTACATTTTTTTTCAAAACTTTGTATTTTAAAATAGATATCTTATTATATACACCTTCTGTCCGCATGATATTCGCTCCGTGCGTGACAGCAGCGCCAATTCATTTTTGTACTAATGGACATTTTTTGCTTATACTGACAATATAATTTTTAATAGAATTCGTAATTAAAAAGTATATATGTTATTTTTAATAAAAGTATATGGATTTGTAAAACAAGTAAAATATTAATTTATTATTATTATATATTTTTATCGCTTAAACTAAAAAAATAAGTATATTCAATAAAAATCAATAATAAAATAAAGGCAGGAAATAGTATTTACGGGAAAATGTATGAGAGGTTGACTAAGTCTAATAAGTTGACTTTGAAGAATTAACCTATTCTGTCCAAATAAAAAAATACCTTTAAATAATAGCGTGAAGTTAAAATGTATAAACAGAAGGATTGTTATTTATATTTTCATTTTTGTTCGAAAGAAAACTTAGAATGAATGATTAAAACTGGTTTCCTATCAGTAAGTCACAAAATTGCATTCCAGCCACATACAATAATCAAAAGTAGAAATCTAGTTCTTGCTGCATTTAAGATTAAAGGGATGTTGAAGAACATCGTGAAATTATATTTATTGTTTATTTAACACCTTTCAAGTTTCTGATGTCTACTATTTCCAGTATTACTATTATTTCAAAAATAAAGGTAATTTTTCTTATTGTACACATATCCACTTATTTCTTTGATTTAATTTCCACTTTGCTACTGAATTTTTATAATTTACGCTGTTGTTTTGCTAGTATTTTTACAATTTTCAACACAGCAACTCCGGTTGCTTATAGTATTGTTTTTACCTACTTTATTAAAAAAAAAAAAGTAAAATGTATACGTGTATTTGATATGCCAAAATGACAAAATATCGCCCTAAAATGCACGAATTATCTGCAGCTAGCGCCCGCTGCCCCTACCATGACTTCGCACTGAGCGAATACCAGACGGGGAAAGGGGTATCGTACGTCGCGCATGACTCGGGACTCGCAGTGTTGCCAGTCTAGTACAATTGTACTAGATCTAGTACATTCTCTGAGAATCTGGTACTCTAGTACACTCGAAACAATATCTAGTACTTTTTTCAGCGTATGTTTCCATTTGAAGTGTAAAATATATTGGTCAAAAATTGCAAGAAACATTCAAATAGTTGTTAAAAATTACTTCAGAGATAAAATAGTAGACATTTCTCGAGAGATAAAACATTGTTTAAAAATTGCACGAGAGATCAAATATTGTTCAAAAAAGGCTTGAGAGGTAAAAAAGGGTGTTAAAAATTGGTCGAAGTATAAAATAGTATTAAAAATTGCTTGAGGGGTAAAATATTGTTCAAAAATTGCTCTAGAGATAAAAAAAACTGTTAAAATTTAATGAGAGATAAAAATATTTAATAATTTTTTCAGAGATTAAATAGTATTATGAATTGTTAAAATCGTGTTCAAAAATTGCTCGAGGTAAAATAGTATTACAAAATGTTAAACCCTTGTTCAAAAATTAACTCAAGCGATACCTACTATTAGAAATTTCTGGAGAGATAAAACATTGTTTAAAAATTCCTCGAACGATAAAATACTATTAGAAAATGCTCGAGAGATAAAATATTGTACAAACATTGCTCGAGATATAAAACATTGTTAAAAATTTAACGAAAGTTAAAATATTTTTATAAATTTGACGAGAGTTAAAATATTGTTCAGTTTGCTAAAGAGATAAAAAAGTTGTTAAAAATTGCTCGAGAGATAGAATAATGTTAGAAATTTATCGAAAGATAAAATATTGTTTAAATATAGCTCAAGAGATAGAAAAAGGTTTAAAAATTGTTCGAGAGATAAAATAGTATCATAATTTATTAAAATCTTATTCAAAAATTACTCGAGAATTAAAAAATACTGTTAAACATTTTTCGAGAGATAAAACATTGTTTAAACATTGTTAGAAAGGATAGATAAAATAGTATTAGAAATTATTAAAATTTTGCTCAAAAATTGCACGAGAGATCAAATATTGTTCAAAAATAGCCAGAAAGGTAAAAAAGGCTGGCTGTTAAAAATTTATCGAGGGATCAAATAGTGTTAAAAAAAATGTTGTACAAACATTGCTCAAGGGATAAAAGAAGTTGTTAAAAATTGAATACTGTTGGAAATTTATCGAGAGATAAAATACTTTTTAAAAATAGCTCAAGAGATAAAAAAAGGTTTTTTAAAAACTGTTCGAGAGATAAAATAATATCAAAAGGTATTAAAATCTTTTTCGAAAATTGCTCGAGAGATAAAATAGTGTTAGAAATTGTTAAAGTTTTGCTCAAAAATTGCACGAGAGATCAAATGTTGTTCAAAAATAGCTAGAAAGATAAAAAACTGTTAAAAATTGCCAGAGTGATTAAATAGTGTTAAAAATTTTGTACAAACATTGCTCGAGGGATAAAAAAAAGTTGTTAAAAATTGCTCGAGAGATAGAATACTGTTAGAAATTTATCGAGAGATAAAATGTTATTTCAAAATAGCTCAAGATATAAAAAAAGGTATTAAAATCTTATTCAAAAACTGCTCGAGAGATAAAATAGTGTCAGAAATTTGTCTAGAGATAAAATATTGTTTAAAATTGTTGTGTTCGTGTTCTCTATAAACCTTTTTTGCTCTTTAATGACCATACTTCATAATTAGAAAAATCTGGTAATTTTATAGAATCTAGTACATTTTTATTAAATCTGATACATTTTTTAGATAAATCTGGTACATTACAAAAATATATTCTGGCAACACTGCTCGGGAGGGTTTATTTAGATTTTATAACTAAGGAGCGAGCATGCGTTTTATGAATGAATCAGTATTTACGTCTACGACAATGACCTTACGCCGCTGTCACACTTCAAAATTAATTGCGAACTTTCCTGGAATTTGCCTTCAACTATGAAAATTGCAACGAGAAAAATACTTTAAACTAATAATAACTGGCATTAGGAAAAGCTTTATGTGCGTTTTAGAGCCTTATGTTAAGTCAATACCGAATTATAACCATAAACAATCCTTGTAACATAACTCATACTCATAATAATTTGATAACTACGTGGATAATACCGTGAATGTTTTCAATTCGATTTTTTTAAAGAAAATTAGTCTAGTAAATGTTCGTCGTTGGTGCCGATTCATTCATAAACCGCGTGCTCACACATGCCAACCTCACAAGGGGATAAAGCCTATTGATCAGGGGCGTGCGGTCCATGGAAGCGGGGGAAGCACCGCTTCCCTACACTTTGAGATTTAAAAATAAATATTTTTCAGTTTACAATGCATAGAAATTAATATTAAATTAGCTACTATATTTTCTCTGAAACAATACGTAAACTTTGTAAATGTACTAACAATTCATTGGTGTAATTTGTAAACGCACGCACCACCCATGAGAAAATTAATTGTGGAAGCGCGTCTTAAAAAAGCTGGTTCATCTTCCAATTGTTTTCGCTTTGTGTTATTGACCTTGGTTTGCCGCGACAGTAGTCAGTCTGTTTGCCACGTGAAATACGGTCGAGAGGCAGCGATTTTTACGTCGCCTTACGCATATTGCAATTCGCACCGCGATTCGACGTGTGAAGAAAATCGTATACTTCAGATAGATTTCGGTTTGTTTTTCGTAGTTGTTTTTCTTTTTGTAAAATGGAGGAACTATGCACTGTGTCTGTGAACAATAATAATGTGGTAAATTGTGTCTGTATTGTGTGCTCTTTATTGAAAAAAGGATTTTCAAGTAGAAATTTTGAAGAGAAAACGGACATTATTAATTCTAGTAGACTAAAGGAACCTATCAATTTAGAGACGAAAGTAGAAAAGTCAGCAAATAAATTTACCAGGCATTTTCACGTAGGGTTCTATGAAAAGTATGAATGGTTAACCGGCTGCAAAACTTTGAAGAAATTGTTTTGCTGGCCTTGTCTACTTTTTAATATAGCAGAAAAAAAAATTGGAACTCAGTCGGTATTACAGACTTGGATAATTTTCACAAAAGTGTAAAACGACATGTAAATAGTAAATCTCATATAAGTGCTACAATTAAAGAAAAAACATTCGGGACCTATCGCATTGAACATAGTTTGGACAATCATTTAAAAATAAGCAACAAAATTCACAATGAAAGGTTAAAAAAATAGGGACGTCTTAGAACGATTAATAGATGTAACTTGTTTCCTGGGAGAACATGAACTAAGTTTTAGGGGCCACAATGAAGCAAGTGGGTCCGCCAATCGAGAAAATTACATGGACCTTCTAAGTTTTTTTTAGCAAAATACGATTATACCCTAAAAAATCATTTTATTGATTCGACGACTTTTCGAGGTACCTCAAACAGAATCTCAAACAGAATCCAAAATGATTTAATTAAATGCACTGCCGACGTTGTGATGGATCACATTAAAAGTGAAATTAAAAAAGCACCTTTCGTATCACTTTCGCTTGATGAAACCACAGATGTAGCAAACTTAAGTCAATTATCCATTGTTGTGCGATAATATATTGGATGACATTCCTCAAGAGCGATTCTTAGGATTTTTAGACGTCACTAGCGAACGCAGATGCATTGTTTAAAATTTTTTGTGAAATTATTTCAAGTTTAGAATGTGGTTCTAAGCTTGTTGCCCAGAGCTACGATGGTGCTGCCGTAATGGCTGGCCATTTAGGAGGCCTTCAAGCTAAAGTGAAAGAGAAGTTTAAACATGCAATTTTCGTTTATTGTATAGAACATAGACTTAATTTGGTTTTATCGCGAAGCATGGATAATATAAAAGATTGCAAAGTTTTCTTTTCGACGCTTAGTGGTTTGGCTTCCTTCTTTTCAAAGTTATCGAAAAGAACTCGCGCTTTGGACATTCACGTCCAAAAAAGGTTTCCAAAAGTTGCTCCGACGCGATGGAACTACAATGGACGTTTAGTGCAAACAGTGTTTCAATACCGTGATTCTTTGATACAGTTTTTTCAAGACGTTTGGGATAATAAAGAAACATGGGATGCTGAAACTGTTACTGCCGCTAAAGGGTATTTGCATTGGCTCAAACAAAACTTTGATTTCAATTTTTTGCTCAACATTTTTGCAGAGATTTTCCCTTTTACTGACATTTTATTCGACATGTTACAGACAAAGTCAAATGACATTGGCTTTTGCATTAAACAAATTGATGATTTTAAAAATAAAATGAATAAAAAACGAGATCAGTTTGAACACTTTTGGAATAAGACTCAAAACATTGGCTTAGAACCTGAAAGAAAGAGAATTAGAATTGATAATGTCGGCGACAGAGAGACCTCCTATCGTCGATTATACGCCGACATTTTTGATAATATTTTACAACATATGAACTCTCGATTTCAAAACTTTAACGAATTAAAATTTGTTGAATTGTGCAATTTTAATATTAGTAACTACGATTCATCAAAATTTCCATCGGAAGCTTTTAATTCACTAAAATTAAATTATGAAATTTTTTTTGATATTCCAGCATTAAAGTCCCAGTTAAGTGTTGTTTATGAAACGGCTGAAATTAGTGATAAAAAGACGCCCATCAATGTGTTAAATTTTCTTATAACAACTGGTTTAAGTAAGTCCCTTTGTGAAGTCGTCAAGTTGTGTGAATTAGTACTAACCATCCCAGCTACAAGTGCGCCAGTTGAGCAAAGCTTTTCAGTTTCAAAGCGCATTAAAAGTTTTATACGAAATTCAACAAGTGAAGACATACTCTCTAATTTAGCGCCAATATCCATTGAAAAAAAGCTTGTTAAAAGTTACCAGAAAATCCAAAATTTTACGATATTATAGACAAATTTGCAGCCATTGAGGATAGGCGAATAGATCTTAAGTATAAATAAATGTCAACTGCTGCGTCAACTGTGCGAAAAATGCTGAAAAAAATAAAAAAAATTCGTGTGGCACTCGGGGACTGCCGCGGTAAAGCTATTATACATGCTTTGTCAGATCACAGCAGAAGTCTATTACATGATTTTGATAGTAATATTGTGGAACAATTTCATGCGGCACTCGCTAAGTTTGTAGGTGGCAAAAGAATCAATTATTCCAGAGGGCGCTCTTACCAAAGTAGATGTTTTGCAGCAGTTGTATCATATAATTTGAAATCAGAGAATTTAGAATTGTAAAAAAACTTTAAACCGTACTAACCAATCCATGTTAGTAACTGAATTGAAAAAAAAAGGCGACAATTGGCAATAAAATCAAAATCTAAGGGGGCGTCCATTAATTACATGAGGTATTTTTGAGGATTTTTTGACCCCCTCTCCCCCCTGGTGAGATTTCGTAAGATTTTCCTCAACTCCCTCCCCCCTCCCCTAATCTCTCGTGAGGTTTTTCAAAATTTGTGTTTTGGGTGTAAATGCGTTGGATTATTAAAAAAACAAACACAATATGTTTTATTACTTTTATTTAAGACTAAACATTTCTAGAAACATTCTTTACTTTAATTTAATTTTCACGCAATTTTACACCGTTTTCTACTAGAAAAAAAAATACGTCAGATTTACAAGTGAGATTTGGAAAGATTTAGCTTGATCCCCTCCCCCCCTTAAACACCTCACGTAATTAATGGACGCCCCCTAATCGCAAACTAAAAAAAAGTTATTCTGCAAAAAACAATAAAACTGATTTAGATTACGGAGAAAATTGTACCAAAAAGGATTTAGATCAAGATATTTATGAAGTAAAAAAACTTCAATTTTTAAACGAATTTCCTTCATTTGACGTTAAGAGAAATGTAATTCAGGAACAAACTATGTCACAGGCGGTTAGCAGAGTTTGGCTTGAAATTCGTAGAAAAATGATTAAGGCCTCACACTTTAAAGCAGTGTGTACTAGACGAATTACTACTTTATGTGAGCCTTTAGTCAAAAGGATTATTTACCAACCACCAGTCAATGCTGCTCCTATTTCTCATGGCAAAAAGTATGAAAAAACGGCACTTTTGCAGCTTCAAGAGCAGGAAAATATAGTGATTAGAGATTGTGGAATTTTTATTGACAAAAAATATCCATATTTAGGTACGTAACGATCAGTTCACATTTTTACTCACATCTCAACTATAACATATTGCAAATTAGTTCATTTTAAATCAAAATAATAATTTTTAAATTTGTAGGTGTTACTCCAGACGGCATTGTAGGAGATGCATTAGTGGTTGAAATAAAATGTCCATACGCTGCATATCAAATGAGAAGAGGCGATTAAATTGAAAAAAATACCCTTTTAGATTTATAATATAGACACCAATAATTTTGACATTAATATCCACCATCAATGGTATTATCAAATACAAGGCCAACTGCATATTACAGGACGAAAAGGATGTATTTTTGGTGTATTGGCAGGTCCCAATTGTCCACTTAAAGTGGAATATATAATAAAAAGAGACAATTTCTGGTGTAAAAATATGGAGAAGTTAAAAAAGTTTTATTTAAACTGTATGTTGCCGAAATTGGTAGATCCAATGTATAATCGGGGAATGTCATTAAGAGAACCTGATTACATCTTAGAAGCTATTCAAAAATTAAAAAATAAAAAACAAAAATAAATACCTCCAAAAAGTCAAATAACATGAATAGTAAGATGTTCTTACAAAGCCGCTATTTATTCTAAAAGTATTTTCTTTAATATTTTTGATTTTAATCTAGGTACTGTTAAAACGCTATAATACCTTTATTTATTTGCAGGTCTTCTGTGACTAATTTATTTGTAGTACTGGGCAAATTAAGTTATCAAAAAATAATAACCAATCATTTTAAATACATTTCTTATGCCTACGTTGTAAAAAATAATATCGAGCTGTTTAGTCACAAAAACAAAATTAAATTATTTTATAATTAGTGATACATTTACATCATATCTAAAAATGAAAAAAGTTTGATGTACAGGGTTCATAATATATTACGCCAACTTTGGCGTTTGTTTGTCCTTCTATAATATTCACTTATTTTAAAAGCAAACTCTTTTTAAAATCGTTGACATCAAAAAAGAGAAAATATGTATTTATATCTCAAAGTTAGCAACAACAAAATATGATAACATCATTCAACGGCAGCCATCATGAAATTCGGACCAATCAAAGCCGGATAGTAACAAAACACTCTGCTCTGTTCCTCAGTTTTTAAAATATTATTTCTATAAGAATATCTTTTTGAGTTTCAGTCAATATATATAGACCGAAATAATTCTGAATTTCATTATCTTAAACCAATAGCATAAGTTACGAATAAAAGGCATTCGTAAGTATTGTAAAAATTGCAAAATTCTATTATACGTTAAATGGTGTAAATTAATATATTTTATATATTTGTACAAAATAAAATATTAAATTATCTTCTTGCTTTATTTATTCTATGCTGAAAAGAGGGCATCCAAGGAAATATCTTTCTGTAAACAATTATACAGTCTACAAACTATCAGATCACTACAACAGCAGACATCAACAAAATCAGGAAAAACTTGTAAGTAAAACTATTTTCTCCACGTTTCATTCACAGATAAGTCAGAAAACATGTAAATTATTAATATAATATGAAACATTTGTTAAATACATTATTTGTAAGGTTGATTTATAGATTTTATTATATTAGTAGCTTAGTTGATATTCTTTGCAAAATTAATTATTTTAGAAAATAATATAATATATATCTACTATACAAATATAATTCTTCTACCTAATTTTTTCTAATTAAACTATATTTTAAATATATTGAAACATTGCAAATTCTATATTTAAAACAAAATGATCTCATGTGATAAAATTTCGATCCTATATGTACCCTTATTCCGTATCTGGCCAAATTTAAATACTAGGTAGACGAGAAAGGCAACGCACCCATCCTTCGGTACGAACACGGAACGTCTTGAGAGGGGATATCGTAATCATATTTTTCAATCATTTTTATATCCGAAATTACTTTGGTATTTTAATGATTACGGCTTTATATTAAGTCCAATTTTAAAAATTATTTTTTGATCTTATTAAGAAAAAGATTTACTACAAGTTGACATTAATCGTTCGAAAAATAATGCATGTTTGATAATGATAATTCTCTATTAAAAGTTGTCCTTTTTTAAACAAAATTAATAAACTTTATAATTTTTTGTAGACAAAACGGACCATTTTTTCAAAAAAGTATGAAGACCCCGGGCTAGTGCCACTTATTCTCTTTGCACATAAAAAAATATATGGTATTATCTTTAAAACTGTGTCTTCTAGGATTAAAACAGAATGCCTATTTTGAAAACAAATTTCCTGCTATTGTCATCGGAGCAATAACTCTTAATGACCACGAAGTATTCTGTTCCTTTTGATTGAATACAGTTCGTGGTGTCAAATTATCGGGTTTTAAACATAATAATGGATTTGAGTTTAATATTGTTGGGGGTAATAAACCACAATAAATATTGCGAATTTGCAGATATTTTTTGGAATACGAAAACTTGATACTTGCAACTGTAAGTCCGCTATATTTGCAGATCTGCAAAGTTGCAGACGTTCTGTAATCTCACCCTTACTTATTTAGTTACTTAATTCCTAAATATGTCACGACAAATGTATTAAAGATGCCCGTAATAAATGGTCTGGATGTTATGTTATGTTGATAATGGGGTGTTAATACACTGCGACCTAAAAGATCTATTGTGCCCCCTTCTGTCGCCACTGCACTAAGGAAATGTCTCAATGCCTATAGCGACCCTTCCAATCCTATTTTCTCAAGGAAGTGTAGGATTTCAAGTGGCTTCAAGTTAGGTAAGTCTCCCTCTTCTATTTGATATCCTCCTAGATATAGTGCCCTTGGATTCTGGAGTGCTACACATTCAGTTAGGATGTGAATGGAGGTTTCGTCCTCCTCCTCACAGAATCTGCACTCACTATCCTCTACTACTCTCAGTTTACTTAGGTGTCCTTTTAGTCGGCAGTGCCCGGTAAGGATCCCTGTTACAATGGCCTGGATACTTTGTGAGGTACGTAACCCAATAAATTATTTTAATCTAATTTTGACATATAAAGTGACATTTATTGTAATCGCAGCAAGTGTCAATATGATCTACTTTACGCAACCAGTTGCATAATGTTGGAACATTATGAAACTGGTTTCGAAAAATTCATTATGTCATCAGTTAAGAAAAGAAAACAAATAAAAATAAATCTTTTTTGGTTTTAAAATCAATAATATACAATATTATTGAAAGTTTATACCAAAGAAGGGCAGGCTGACATAAAACAGATTTTAGTTAAACTTACAACCTAGTAATATTGTTGTTTTGGTCCTTATTTTCTATTCTAAATCAGCACAAAATAATTAAAACACAATACCCGACAAAATAGCCCACTTTTTAAAAAATTAAATAACTTTAATAAGCCTTATAAATACACTACAAGTCGCTGAGAATAAATAATTAATATGTTCTATTTGTCAATAAAATGATGCATATGCAACTAACAATACAAGAAAGTAGTCAGTAATTTCTTACCAAAACACTAATCTATTCAAAATTAGAAAAAAAATATTGTAACACATTACGAAATGCCGTTTTATGTAACTCGTTGCATAAAATAAGGCATTTCGTAACTGGTTTCATAAATAGCTATTATTCTGCATAAATTTCATTAAAAATAAAATTTCGATTAGCTGATTATACCTACACTCGAAAATTGAATACGTAATTAATTACTAACCTTGTAACATGATTATTTTCTTCAGATTCATTCTCGTAAGCATCTATGACTTCACCTACAAATTCTAATGGAGCTGGATTTGGTTTTGTATCGATAGGTTCTTGTTTGGGCCTTACCAAAAACTGATAATCTACAATTTTTCCTTTAATTTCTTGGCTATCAAAATTATCATCTTCATGAATCTCTTCCTTAATATTATTTTTCAAAAACGTAGACATTTCCTGTTTGGGCGCAATAAATCAACTATAATAAGGAAAATTTTTATTAAAGGTAATGTGAAGACCGATGATCATGGCCTAGTGGCCGAAACCGGTTGTCATATTTAATAAAAAATTGTGGTATTGATTTCGTGTAATTTCTATCTTTAAATTGACCACATTTGAGCAGTTGGATGCCCTTCTTCGGTAATAAGGTTTATTACGTTTACATACTATTTATCGACATTATCGTGCTTCGTGCTTATCATGGTAGTTCCGCTGATAGTGTGTTATTTATAATTCTAATATAGTACATACGTCATAGTCATATTATTGACTTTCATTTTACAGTTAGTTGATAAATAACAGGAACGTATTATCAGTGTTGCCAGAATTAAGAATCAAATTGTGATACATTTAATAGAAACGCAACAAAATTAGACTATGTAGTCTATTCTGTATCATGCAGTTGCTAGCTGGCAAGTGGCTTTGACCAAGATCAGTCGTTATGTTACCACTTTGGAAAAATCAGAATTCTCTAAAATAAAATCTGTAACAACTAGTGGTTATAAAAGTGGATTCCGAGTGACTTGGAAGCAACCAAATATTCTTGTTGGTTAAGCGAGATAACTAGTTGCTGATAAAGAAATATGGACCATTGGATAATAAATATTTAAATATACTAAAAAAATTAATAGGAGGTATATATGTTGATTGATAAAGATAATAGGACCTTATCAGAACTTAATAGGTACATCATATTTTCTAATTATTTGTTTTATCAATCTGCATCTATAAGGTGGGTTCCTCACATTACTAAGACCTTAGTGACCCATTGTGCTTTATCCAAAAGTTGGAGCAAGAGCTGATCGAGCTGCCTTATTTCAGCTTGCTTAAAATATCTGCTGTCTCCGTGAGATGTCTAGGGACTAAGGCTGTCAATTCTTGACGTGAGTTATGTCATCAAAATTCCTAAATAATATAGTTGTTTTAAGTACCACATTAACGTATCTTAATTGTACTTTGATAATTTACAAATGTTTCCTTTACGATAAGAACTAATATAAAAAGACACCCACCCCGACCTAGAACAGTGTAACATTGTCATTGCTGAAGTCGTGGTGTATACTACTACATTGTATACGATAATTGTTCATTTAAATGAAATAAAACTTTTTAAAAACTCAAAGTGTTAAAAGAAAAACTTAATTGGCGCAGTCAGTAGGATCCAGGAAGTGAAAACTTAAAAGAAAACTCAGTTTCACCTGTTTTCACCGTTGGTTTCAACCATTGACCTAGACCGAGCAGAACTACGAAGAAAATAAAACTCTGAACAAGTGTTCAGCTCATATTTCTTTCGTTTTCATCCTTTACTTTCCCAAGTGAATTTTAAATTTGAAAATAAGTTATTTTCCTTCTTTTATAAAAGTTATATTTCATGTTTTTATTGGTACAAAGGTAAAATCTTTCTTTTTAAAGTGAATTTCCTTAAAAACCACTTTAAATATATTGATATAAAGGTAAAATCTTTCTTTTGAAAATGAATTTCCCTAAAAATCATCATCTACACATTATTATTAAACTTAATATTTTTACATATTTTATTGCACACTAAGAATAATTTCAAGTGACGTAAGCATATTCTTTTGACCAAATAATCAAAAATGAAATCCTTACATGAGCATAGACGAAATTACAGATTCTTTGAATAATCTAAAAATTGCACCTAAAATGGCAACTATTCAAGCCGCCAAAGAAATTTCACACACCCTTCGTAACTTCTCCGGACGTAGCGAGCATCTCGAAACATGCATAAATGCCGTGGATAAATTTTTTGATAGATACGGAACCACTGCATATAATAGCTTAAGCGAGTTTGTATACGCGGCTATTTGTTCAAAAATTGTTGATGAGGCTGGCGACTTTTTACTATGTCGCCCAGATTTAGATACGTGGCCACAAGTCAGAAACGCCCTTCGCGATAAATTCGGAGGCAAAGTTGACTGACACCCCAGGTAGCAGACTGACGTCATTATGACATCTTATTTTCGTCATACAGGACGTCATTTATCCTCTGATAAACTAACGTGATAATGACGGTAAAATGACGTGAATATGTCACAGCCTAAATGACGTCATATTTAGACGCTCTTTTCACGTCTAAATATGACGTGTTTATGACGTTGTTAATGTCACCTTTGTCGTTATTCTTTATACTTATTTGAGACGTCACCATGACGTTACATTTGATATTGTTACTCCTTTGTAACTTTTCTATAGGAACTGTGGGTCACTTAGGACCGATTCCACCGTTGTGTTAAACGAAGTTTAAAATGACATTTTTACATTAACAATGTCATTTTAATCTCCGTTTAACACAACGGTGGAATCAGCCCTTAATAAAATAAAATTAGAAAATGAAATAATTATAATTAAAAAGAAAAAAAGTTTAAATACATGAAATGTTATTGGCAAAAAACATTAATTTATATAAATCCAACTGCTCCAAATGTGGCCAACTTGTTCGTTATTATTTTGGTTTGGCACAATGATTTTTCTGAGTGCCGCCATTTTATACTATTTCACGAACCTGGGAACATTTTAGGGAACATCCTATGAATGTAAAAGATATAAAATCATTAAAGAATAAGGATAATATAGATATAAAAATATCTTATGCTGGGTTGATACTGATATAACTTTTTTCACTGACCCTCTTAACTTTTAACAACAATCCTGAATGCACACGGGCCCATAGATAAATTAATATTAATTTATCTATGCACGGGCCACGATCCACGATGCACACACCATTACACATGGCTGATGCAACAATATGCGATACCGTTCTCGTGCTTGCTCGAACGGCTCGAACACACACGAGACATACTCCACAGACCGATAAGCACAGACAGACGCAGTCATGTGTCACGTGGTGTCATCAGTCTTTATGCATTTAAGCAGATTTAAACGTTAATAGACCTAACAGTTTTAAAAAATAATTGTTTAGGCCATATTATTTTACATAAATAAAATGTATTGAAATCACGTTTAATATAAACCTTAATTTAATAGTGACAATAAATTGACGTCACACTGACGTCGAATTTGTGACGTCAAAAAGACGTTAAAGAAGTGACGTCATAACCACCTCATTTTTTGGTAACATGACGTCGATGACCAAGAATTACCCAAAAATGTTGTCAAAATATCGTCAGTCTGCTGCCTGGGACGTATTGCAACAGTAATTTATATTTTTAAGTAGAAATAGAAACGAAGCAGTTATAGACTTTTTAGAACGACTTAAATTAACTAAAATAAGACTAAATTTAAAAATAAATTCTGACCCAGAAATTAATCCAGCGACAAAATTAGTCCTAATTATCCAAAACGAAATTACTGCTGTTACAGTATTAATTTCTAATTCTAACGCGGAATTACGAACCCTACTCTTATTAAAGAACCCCAGAACCATAGAAGAAGCAACATCCCTAGTAATAAATCACTCTTTGCTAGAACAACAAGTAAATATAAGACATTCTGATCACAACAAAAACATAATCACCAAAATAACAAATTGTTTCAATCTAACTATGTTTCAAAGCCCCAGCAAAATAATAATTTCCCTAGAACTTCGCATTACCAAACAATGCAACGCCAACCTATACAGTGAGCACCATAAGTCTTACCCCCACTATCTAACTCGTTACTGGAGTCTTGTTAGGAAAATCGCCGAGACAGGTCGATTTTTGATTTCTAGAATGTACATTTTTGTATGAATAGTTTACCCTTAATTTCATCCCTTACTGGAGGGGAGCAACCCTTTCGAAAAATTTAAATGGCATGGGGTGGTGAGTGATAGCTCATTTGAAAGAGGGTTTTATTCTCTATTCAACCGTGTAAAAAAATTTGAAATTTGCTTCATTAAATCTCGACTAATTGTTGTTTCAGAATAACGGAAATTAACGTAGCGCACCCATCCTTAGAATTAAAATTCGGCCCTGCATGACTTCGGTTTTGGTTCAGAAGTGAAGTAAGACTTTTTGCCATTAGAAGGTCACTGTTAGTCTAGTTGCTTTCCTATTTTGTGAGGTTTTGTTATTTTTAAACATTAATAAATCAACATGTAATGATGCAAATTTCAAAATTTTTTTGCACGGTTGAATAGAGAATAAAACCCCCTTTCAAATGAGCTATCACTCACCACCCCATGCCATTTAAATTTTTCGAAAGGGTTTTTACCCTCCAGTAAGGGATGAAATTAAGGGTTAACTAATCATGCAAAAATGTACATTGTAGAAATTAAAAATCGACCTGTCTCGGCGATTTTCCTAACAAGACCCCAGTAACGAGTTAGTTAGGGGGGGTAAGACTTAAGATGCTCACTGTATATTACCCAAACAATCCTAATAACCGAATGTCAAATAATGCTCCTAATAATTATTATAACCCACAAAGAACCCCATTTCCAAGTCAACCTATAAATATTCAACCCTGACCAATTCAACAAAAATTTTTATCAAACGAGCAAGTATTCGGCAAACCAACAAATGTATTTGCACCCAAAAATTCTCACAAACCCACAGGTAAACCGGAACCAATGTCCACCTCAAACAGACTACCATCAACGAGAAATTTCGCGCAAAATTATAGCCACCAAAATCATTTCCAAAACCGCTACGCAAACAACGGAAAACTACCATTCGTGTTCGAAGAATTAAATAATTTAGAAGTCAACTATAATGACACTACATTCCAAAACTTTTCCGAACATCAAAATAATGATTATTACGCAGAAGACGACGACAATAATTTTTACATTAATGACGATCAACATACTAACGATTACTATAACACTAATGAGTATGAGAAAAATCCCACTAACTTGGAAGAAAAAACTTCTCAAGCACCAAATTTTCATCTAACAGAGCCTCAACCAAACAAAATGTAGACCTTAACAATTTAATACCCAATTCCTTACCCTTCATAAAAATGGTAATCCACATCTTACACTGTTAATC